CTTAGGACAAGAATTTGTGTGTGGGCAAAACACCGAGACACTTTTTGACAATATGTGTGTATGTGTGTTCATATGGCCCAAGTTTGCTGAAATCAATGACAGCCTAGCAATCATGCCCACGACCCATTTGAAGAGCTCAAGGCCTGGGAGAGAAAGACCTGCCCTTCCTCCTGCTTGCTCTTCTTACTGCCTTTCTCTGTCTTTCCTCCCATAGCTGCAGCAGCCATCACACAACCTCCGGTAGCCTTTTTTAGTCCAGAGAAAAGAAACCCTGAAACCCGGATCAATAACTTAAGTCTTGTCTTCCTAATTGCTCATTGGTTGACGCTTCTGCCCGACCATCTGTAAGTGCATGTTTCCACAGCGTAATCTTCGTCTTTACCTCCATTTCGAAAGACTTTCGACCCAGTGTTATCCTGTCTCTCGCTGCCTCGTTCTCGCCTCCATTCATCTCTGTTTGCAACGTCGGGGAAAAAAAAAAAACTGACTTTTGACAAGGATCTGTTCAGTTATCTCGATGGGATGAGATCGCAATGAGATGCGACTGTCTTGGCGCAGGCCCGTGACTTCCAGGCTCCTCAGGTAAATATACAGGTTTAATGACGAGCGGGGGAGATTAGCTAGTTACACTCGGGGGGCAATTTCGCTGAGCGCCAAGAAATTAGCTGGTCTCGTCTGGCTTTCTCTGCACGGCTTATTGTATGATCTAATGCAGACACACTTTGAGTGTGGAACATGGCGTACGGGGAGGGCAGTATTGATTGTGCTCATTGTGAATTATGTGAATAGATAAAAGTGTGAGCGTGCATATATATTAGCCAATTATGAGCCCAGGTGCTAATGTAAAAATTCTGCTGAATAAATATGAAATATGCTTCTATCAGCATCCAACTTGTGTCTCCTCGACACCAGTCATTTGAGATGATAATTGGGATGGCGTGTTTGCCTTTTTTCTTGATGAGACGAGATATTGCGGTCGCTCCCCACCGCCCGGATTTAAATGCGTATTGATCAGGAACAGTCTCAGGAGCTCAAATCAAAACAGCAGTGCAGCCTCTCCACAGTTGCATATCGTTGTGCCTTGGTTTTTCCACATCATATTTTCATGAAATCTCACAACCCACTGCCCTAAAAATGCCCATTCTTGTGTCACTTAAAACGGCACATTTGCTTGTATTTCTTCCCGTCTCCTTTGTCCATTATTAATGTGCTAATGTCAGGATTTAAATGAAGTATTGATCAGTTGGGGAGAATAGAGAGAGAGGGAGCGATTGTGAGGCAAAGACAGCAAGACCAGGGTTATCGTGTGGATCGCACACAGAAAGAGCGCGCTAACGGGCGAGACACGTTTTAAGTGAATCCGCAAAATAGCTTTTTGCATAATCTTTTTATCGTAATTCAGGAATAAGCACCAGGCTCTTTTGTCTGACTTGGAGACAACAGTGATGCTTTTAACAGGACGGAAATGGAAAAGGTGTCCATTTTTTTCTTTTTTTTTTTTTTTTTTTTAATTCAGGATTTTTATTAATTCCATGGGATACTTTCCAAGGCTGTATGCTGATTGCCAAAAACGGTTTGCCTTGTTTAAGTCTCCATTTTGTTTGCCCATCATTTTGGTCGATGGACGCCGCAGCCTCGGACACACTGGGCAAAGGGTCTAAGTAAAGCCGAATCGGGGTCCGCTTGCTATTCTCTTGCTGCCATCCTTTTTCCGTTTTCCCTCCCTTCTCTCTCTCTCTCTCACATCACCTTTGGCTCGCTCTCTCCTCCTTCCATCCCATCCTCTCATGTGATTGAGTAGAGCATCATTGTGTTAATTAGTAGCCTGTTTATAGTTGTTGACTCACGGACTGGATCGACAGCTAAATGTCGTACAGCTCGCCATGGACAAAAATGTTGCTCATAGCTAAGGTGATTCAATATTTTTGATTTCCCTGAAACTGTTTATAACATAACTGTTGGGCAATTATTTGAGTTACTCAAGATTTGAATACAATATTTAAGTACTCCATAACTGAATGAGACATTGCAGTCTTTGTCTTCATCTTTCATTTCATGAAGTTATTCAGATCATAGACACAAATTTACTGTTCATCGGCATCTTCTACAGTCTTTTTGATGCAAAACAAGCAGTACAGGCCTGTCCTTAATATAGTGCCCTTTCTTTATCTCCAATTATCTGCACTGTAGAATATAGAAGTCTGTGTACATCTACAGTCTGTGAGCATGTTGTCTGCAGAGAGCGGATCGGTTTGGTGGATTGATTTTCCTCCTCCTCTCGCCTCCCTGCCTCTTTTTGTGCTTCAATAGTTGGACATCCAGGAGCAAGGATGTCTCAGCACCATTCTGAAGAATGGAACATAGTTGATTGCAGCTTTACCAACGAGAGCTTCTGAGCCAGGCCACCAGGTCCAAGAATTCCACAGGCAGGTACAGTCCTCTCTGCAAGGCCCGGCCGGGGGCGTATCCAATAGGCCTCAAAATCATCACGTTTCATATTCCCATCTTGATCAGTGTGTGCTGAGCATCATCATTTTTTTTGTTTTGTATTTCTGTCCTATAGTTAGTTAATGTTCACTGAACATGCTTTTGAGAGTGGCGAAATCTTGAATTGCCAAATAATTAGATTGTATAGGCTAATAGTTGTAATTGGATCCAGGTAGTAATCAGCAAGACTGATTCGATACTTATGTGGTCAGAGATTTACATACATTATAAACCTATGATTCATTTAATGATTACATTATTATTAAAAGATTATTTTATTGATGTAAGCTTTATTTAGCCAAATAAGGCAATTGAAAACAGATTTTCATTTCCAATACTCACCTGAGTGGGTCAAACAAAACTAATTAAAACAAAATCAAGTCAAACTATGAACAACAAACGGTGAACTTTGACATAGTTACCTAAAATCACATCGTCGCACATGGGTGACTAAAATTTCAACAACAAGCAAAACAAAAACAAACAAAGATGTTCAGTGATATTATGAACGGTATCACTCACTAATTAATGACGGTACGGGATGCATAAGCTGAGTTTTGTTATGTTGCATAGGGTGGGCGGCGGTATATATTGTGAGTCGAGAATAGGAAAAGTTTAAATTTTACTACTATGTTTGGCCACTATTTGATAACCGTTTCACACACACACACAAAACAAAAACTGTTGTGTTATCTATTATCGTCTACTTTTTATAATATGCATAAATCATCAAATAGTTTGACTGAAACATTTTCCTCATCAAGTCATTTCTGCCCCCTCTTCCAATGCCGCAATTAGATAATGGAGTAGTTTGCGCATGTTATTTTACTTTGTTTTTAAAACATGCTTGAGCATCACTGGGGGAGAAGAAAAGAGCTTATTTTGCTCCATCATGCTTCTGTAAAATACCCTACTTTGATCCTTCCACATTTTACAGCACACTACTGTACGGATGCTTATTTGTATTTCTCCAGAAACTACCATGATATGGTGGGAGGTGTCGTCACAGAGGCCTCAGAGCACAGAGAAGTCAAAAGTGCTTCTGGGCACAGTAAACATGAAAGCTTCCTTTTTGGCACGATAAAGTTTGAACTGACGTGTGTGGGTGTCACAACTTATTGTAGCGCTTGAGACAAGGTTCAACTGTGTGATCTTGAGTCCATCTGGTCAGCATTAACATCATGCGGGGTGGGAAGTGTCTTCTGAGGGACACTTGTTTTATAGCTACAACGTGCACCATCTTAAATATTTTTGGATGGATTTTACCTGATGATCATTAAGCTTAAAAATATATATTTGGCTGTATTTTTCTTTTTTTAACACTGTTAGCATTGCACACCTTCATGTGCATTTTAACATCATTGTTTGCACCGCGCTCCATGGAAAATACATTACTTGCAGACCTGACCGTTTATGATTTGCCTTGTCAGACAAAAAAATAAATAGAAGATCATCTGGGAGCTCGCGGTGCAGCCCCATCTGTCTGCCATGTGTTATACATATTTCTTTCTAAGCTTGTCTCGTTCTTTACTCCAAGTGTAGCAGTGGTGCTACAGGCAACATGCAGCGCAGGACAGAACTCGACTTGGAAAGCACCAAGGTGGTGACTAGGAATCTTAGCCAATGTACGCGTTAACACAGTGGCACAATATTATTTACTATATTTTCTTTAGCTGACACCTTGCTGCATCACCTATATTGAGATAATTTTTTCAGGTCTATAGAGCACACATATAGTCGCTATACAAGCCCTGGACACTTCATTAGGTAGACATGCAGAGTACAATGAATCCCAATACAAGAGCTGGATCAAAATATTGGCCTTTGATTAAATGTCACAAAAATATTAATAGTTAACATTTTGGTTGTCACTAATATTTTCGTGGTGAGAGTAAACCACAGTATTGGCCCTTTACTGTTGTGACAGCCGAGTGTATTTTTATGCACCCATCCATTTTCTATATAGTACTTGTCCTCGTGGGACTGTATGTGTTTTTAAACTTAGCTCAACTTTCAAAAGAACTTAATTCTTGTAGCAACGTCACAACAGTGGCAGCACTGTACACAAAAAAATGAAATAATAATAATAATACGAGCTTGAGGAGTCAAACTATTAATACATTATTTAGACTACATACATTTACCATACATGACATAAATATTCTATGATAAAAACTTTATATCTATATAAAACAATAAAACATATAATGAAATTAAAATCTAAAAAAAAACACACTAAAAACACATTCATAAAAATAAATGCTAAAAAATAAAGTACAATACAGTACAGTGTTCTAAAGGGCAATTTTTGTTTAAAAAAAAACTTTCCAATTGTTTTTTTTTCTTCCTGAGGGATGGAACAAATTAATGCCATTTCCATTTATTTCAATTTGGAAAGATAATTTGATGAGTGTTTCAACTTATGAGCATGGATATGGAATGAATTAAACTTTTATCTCAAGTCACCATTATGTACATAATTCTAATTAACTCCTGTTTGTTATTTATCCAGGCTTCCATATGTGGGCCTGAAACCATCCATCCATTTTAATGCTCTTTATTTCTGGACCGTGGGGCAAAGCTGGAGAAAAGCCCCACATCAGGCAAACTTGCAACAGAAACACCAAAATGATGTGCTTCTTGATGTGAGGTAAGTGTTCCATTGCCACGTGTCTGCACCATGAAATGAGAATTTAGTAGCAACGTGCAAAGGGGATGCAAAAAAAAAAAAAAACTGTCATTTGTGCTTCAAACACCTCTGAAAACCCCTCAACATGTTCAAAATTTCCTTGCGACAAGAAAAGTACAGACGAACATCTGGAGAACGTTCTTCCCTCAGAGGGCACCCCTAGTGGCCTGTCCAACTGCTCGTTACTTGAAGTCACCACAAAAGAAAATAACATATGACTCGGTCCATAGTCTTGACGTGGATGAATTTGCTTGAATAATCCCAAGTACTACTTATGCCGTTCAGTACAACATTGTGGAATGTTGCAAGGCATGTCATGTGTTTTGTAATTTATGAATGTCTCTTGTAATAAGTTTTGTCGTGAGTGCCTCGATGAAGAGGAAAACACCCTAAAATCCCTCATACTTGGGCGATCATTGTAATATTTTCAGAGGTTGATGTGAACATTGAGTAGAGATGTCAACGTAGATTTTGGTGACGGTTGATCGCAGTTTTGGCACATGAATCGACGTTTAGATTCCTACATTATGGGTAAGAGAAGGAAAGTTTCTCGCTGAAGTGTTAAGTCAAATCAAAAAGGCCCGATGTCCGAGGAGAAAATGCGAGAGTAGCTGAGTGAGGTGTACGTGAAATGACCGGATGGTTTTTCCCACGCCTGGATGGGGATTGATCCAAAAATAATGTGGATACATTGTTAAATACTTAAATAAAGTACTACCGAACACAGTTTTGCTCCCGCTGGCTTTTTAAAAATATATGCTGGCGTGCAGGCATGCAACCGCAATTTTTTTTTTTTTTTTTTAAGCTAGCATATACATATTTTACCATACCTGCATCCAATAATGCAAATATCACCCATAGCTGACACTGCGCCTTTAAATACGGTGTGCTGTATGGTCGTGAAAATACGGTAGTTGCCCCCACCCCCACACCCCGTACCTCTCTGCCACGGTGTCATGTAGTACATCTTTAGACTCAACCAGCAGCAACGTGTCAACACCAGCAGAAACTGATTATTTTTTATTTTATGTGCTTGTAAAGTGCAACATTTTTCAGTGCCAATGGATTAAAATCATGGCCGTCGCCGAGAGTAATAATTACACACAGAGGATACAAAAATCTGGACGTGTCACATGTTTAAGTATTTTTTTTCTGAAAAGGTTCTCATGGGCTTGATTGGAGCTTCTTGCCAAATGGATGGCTTCAGGTGTGAATAATTGCAAGTGCTATGTGCAAGCAAAGTCCAGCAAATGCTGTCCTGATGCTGGTGGCCTGTCGAAAAGCCTGACTTTCAGGACCGAATGATTGCGAATAAAACATGTGATTGAGAGGAGAGGAGAGTGAGAACCATAAACAAGCAGGATTGTGCCCTTTAATTTCACCGTCTCCAGAGAATTGCTTTTGCTGTGCCTCAGAGTGAGTCCTACACACAAGCCGTTTAGTTGTCTGCTCAAGGACTGAAATTTAATTTAGCCGCTGTGTTGTCAGTGTGCGTGGGTGTGTGTGCACAAAATGCATCTGTGTGTGTGTGTGTGTGTGTGTGTGTGTGTGTGTGTGTGTGTGTGTGTGTGTGTGTGTGTGTGTGTGTGTGTGTGTGTCTCTCAGTCTTTGTTTGCATGAGTCAGTTTGGAGCATAAAACTTGGTTTGCATGAACTGTAACTGCTTTTTGTTTTTTTTGTTTCATGGAGTCTTTTGTGTGCAAGCGCCATTGTGTGTTTTCTTATTCTCTTGTGACTTAATCATTTACATGGGTTGTTACAATACTGTCTCACACTGCGGATGCACAGCAATGTTTGTTTGCACGCTACTCTGCTCTGTTGCTTTTGGACTTTAATGTTCCTTCTATATTTGAGCACTTGATATATGATCATTTTGCTAACCTGTAAGCTTACAAAAAAAAGTCCCTATTGTACTGTTGGCATTGATAGTTTGTTGTCGAACTTTGGGCAGTAATCTGTGTATGCTAATTGCATGTTGAAAAATACAGCTGACTTGTTCCGGAGTTGTTGCCTTGGTTTTTCACAATGGTTTGTAAGTTTTTTTGTGTGTGTTTATAATACAGGTTCTTGATGAAAGCCTGGAGCATAGGCATATATCAGAGCTCCCACACTAATAAAAGGCCAGCAAGCTGTGCTCTTCTCCTTCTGGGAACTGCGCCGCTTTTTTTTTTTTTTAACACAGCTTGTCTGACAGAAAGATAAAGTACCCGCCCAATTAGAAGAATATTTGGCCACATACCTCCCGACAGCAATTCTAGGTATTTATTTTCCATGCCATTTGATCAGGAATTCTTGCTATTTTTACAGGGAGTTTTCTTATCGCCGCGCCTTGGCTATGCACATGTTAATGTGGTCCCCATCACTTTAACCCTGATGCAGTATAAAGAAACATGCCTGGTATTATTTTGGTGTCTTTCTTCTTTTTCCGTCATCGGGTTGGGCTGCACCCATGTTGTGTTTTGGCATGAGTTTGGGAGCGAGGCAGTGTTTGTTTTACATTTCACTCTGCATGAAGGGATTCATGCTGTTTCTGTGTGCGTGTGTGCGCACGTGTGTGTGTGTGTGTGTGTGTGTGTGTGTGTGTGTGTGTGTGTGTGTGTGTGTGTGTGTGTGTGTGTGTGTGTGTGTGTGTGTGTGTGTGTGCGTGTGTGTGTGCGTGCGTGCGTGCGTGCGCATGCGTGTGCGTGCATTCGCGTTGATGTCATGCTAGTTGCCCCTGTCATCTATCTATGCCTCAGAGATGTGTGCATGAGCATATACTTATATGCTATATAGTCCCCCGTATCTGTTTAGAAATAGTGCAGATGTTTTTTCTACCCTTTTTCCAGAGAGTGCATTAAAATTAAATCCTCCCTTGTTGTTGTGAAAAGAGGCACACGTAAAAAATAATTGGCTAGAGGAGAGAACAAAGGGCCGGCTCCTCTCTTCTTCCTGCACACCCCAGCCAGGCATTAATACCAAGCGTGCTGTATTGTTCCGCTGTCTGCAGCCATCCCCCTAGCCAGACACTCAGCTCTGGAGAAGTCACTTTTAATGTCTGATAATCAAGGTGAATTTTCAAAAAGCTGCCATTTTCAAATGATGGTGTATACATTTTGTGGAGATTGGAGTTCAGGAGCAGAGAGCTCCACTCACAGGCTTGGGTCAAGCTTTGCAAAGTGAAAGAGAGACATCTAATGTTCACAGCATGAACTGCAGAGGGATTCTGGCTCCGTGGGGCCAGCTGCAAAGAATACCGCCTAGCATTTCCCTGCACTGTAATTACAATATGATGTGTCTGCTTTGGTTCTTTGTAACGACCTCACTGATTAACTGTACAATGTGGACAATATTGCAGCCTATCTGCATGTATCTCTTTTGTCTCCGCACAGAAAGGAGCATGACTGGGGAACCAGGCAGCCAGCAGCAGAGCAGAAGAGCGCCATTTCCCCGCCATAGGCCACAAACTCATCTTCTCCTCGCCCCTCCCACTGCTCCTCACCCCCCCCCGCACCCCCACCTCACGGTATGATTATTTCTCCTCTGCTCCACCGCCCCATTATATTCCAGGTCCGCAGTTATTCCACTCTGTTGTCATTTTTCATGGTATGTATTTCCCCATGTGCAGCAATGCACATTTGCTCCGAGCCTGTGCAATATGTTAAGGATGTGGAAATATGCAGTGTGCAGAATGTAATGAGTGTATATTTATTTTCTTTGAGGAAAAAGGGGAGACTCTCCATGTATCTTAACAAACATGACTGCTGCGCCTGCACTCACCTCCAAGGTTTTCTACTCACCCGGGAAACCAAATTATAAATCTGAGGCAGAGGCACTTGTTTTTTCGTGCCGTGACTACTAAGATCTTGCCTGGTATTTCGGGGGGATATATATTTTGCTTGTACAAATAATCCAGGTGTTTTGTTTCTTCAGTACACTGTATGTGGCATTTCAGATGGACAGTTGTACAAGCGGTATTTTCAGATAGTTTTGTGTGGTGTGCTGTCATATATGTTCCTTTCCGTACTCCCTATACGGTGGCAAGTGACAGCACCCATCCACCCATCCATCCAATTCTCAATGCCCTGTTCGAGTTGGGAGTTTGCAACAATTTATCAATTTATCAGTATCAAAAGTCGAGCTTTAGAGAAATCATAATCTATCGTAGTTTCTGGTATGTGTGATATGTGCGGCCACACAGTGAAGTATTTCTAAAGCAGCATTTTTGTATGGGGAATTTGTGTCCCTTGTGGAGGTTACCAAGGAATAAACCTTGACATTAGATGTTGTTGATGTTAAGGAACTATGACATGCATTGTCATTGTATGAAAATCTCTATATTTTAGGGAGGAGCTAAGGTTAGTTCAGGCATTTTTTTAGGGGGTGGGGTGATGCATCAAATGGGGCTCTTGTACAGAGCGCCGATCATCGCCACCGATCAAAGTGTTTCAGTTTTGACAGACACGGTTTGACAGGAAAAGTATTATCCATCCATCAATTTTATACTGATTAGGCTCTGCTCGCAGCGAGCTGGAGCCTATCAAAGGTGACTTCGGGTCTGCAACCTGGACTGGTCACCAGTCAGTCGCAGCGCACAATATACAGACAGACAAACATTTACTCTTATTTTTGCATCGTGACCGAATAGGCAGTAAATCGACGCTGCCTGTAACGCAGTGAGGCAAATGTACCGCTACACCAGTGAGGTATTGATGTAACAGTACACTGAAATGTATTGAACAGTCACATTTTGGTTCAAATTAAGGGACACATTTTCAAAGCACCTCTCACCAGACATTAATTAAAGTCCAAACTGAACGTTATTTGCCGTGGTAAGCTTGTGGAAATTGCACTTGAATCGGACCTTAGTAGACTGTGCAAGTGTGACAAATGTGAATGGATTTTGACAGCAACCTCGTAAAATAGAGCAACAGGATTTCAAATAAATGTGTAAGTCAGGCACCATTTTCAACTAGATTAAAAAAAAAAAGGAAAAGTCTATTCACTAACTTTCTTTGTGTGTTGCCGAGAAAAAAAGACTGCATAAACTATCGATTATGAAACAACATTACACAATTCAAAAAACATTTCCAATACTTTTTAAGTAGTTCTTTTTACTCTTTGGAAGTGTTCACATGAATGACTGCATCTTCAATAGAGCACATATGGAGCGGCTGTAACAAAGCTCAAATAATACTGTACCTCCTCCAAATTTGAAGGTGCCGCCGGCAGGGTTCCTGTCATGTCTGTGTAAATACTGTCAAACAACAACATGGAACTCAATTTTCATCCTTTTGTGGTGATTCATAAAAATGTGCAAAAGTGAATTCATCTCCACGCACAGAGCGTGGGCTGGTACCCCAGCATTTGCACCTGCTACACCTGGTATCCTGCCTTGATGTAACAATGTTTATGAATATCTTGCCTTCAGTGTGATTGCATAATAATCGAGCAAATCAAATGTGTGAGTGCTGTATTTGTTCCCAATAGCAGAGATTGTGTTATTTTTCCCTGAGTGGTTGGAGGGCATGATTTCAAAGTGTTCATCTCAGCTGTGGTGCAGAACGAAGACAGGAAAGAGCCACAGGCAGTCTGATGTAAGGATGTAACGAGAGCGAAGACGGTGTGACTGATGTGGCTCGCTGCCAGGCTGGGCACTGCGCCCACGAGGAGGCAACACCGACTGTGGCAAAGAGACACACAGACAGTAGCGGGCCCTAAATCCCAAGTGTGTGGGAAGAGGCGAGAGAGGGTCGCGGCTGATTGGCAGGAGTGGTTTCGTCGGAATTTGCATGTGATGTGGTCAGGTTAGGATGCAGTGAGCAGTGAGCGTCTCGGTGGAAAATGACAATCAATGTTATGTCACCATCTCAGTGCTGTTTATGGGTCATTACAGAAATGGAGGAAGATGTAGGCACCATTTTTTTTAACAATGTACCCTTTATTTGATCATCTTTTTGAATTTTTGAAGCCCAAGATGGCGCCCGAGTAGGCAGCCGTCGGCAAGTGCTCTCATGAGCCTTGCTTTTTTTGTTGTTTTTCTGTTTGTTTTGTCACTTTGTGTTTGTTGTTATGTCGTGTGGACCTGATGTGGACTGTTTTCAGCATTTTTTGGCCACGACATTCATCAAGGAGGAGACTCGGTGCTTGGTGGTTGCGCCTTCTCGGCAGCACGGGTATGCCAGCACTGTTTTTGATTGGGAGGATTGTCGGCGCCATTTGACTGTCGTTGCTGGACAGCTCCGGGGCGCTTGTGTCTTGCGCCTGTAATGGGCAGCATTTTCACAGCCCCGCTTTGTTCAGCGGAGAGATCGGTGCTGTTGAGCGGTCTGCGGCTGGATGGATGCAAGGCTTGAGGAGCCGACGATGAGAAGAAAGGAGCGTTAGCGCAGAGCGCCGATGCGGATGTGGAACCGGGAGTTGCGGCTTGGAGTTGAAGCGGATTACGTGGAACAGGAGAAGTGAACTAATCTCTTTTTGTCAATGGACGCTAAAGCTTCATGTTTGCTTTCAAAACTTAGCTTGTAACAGACATGTGCACATTTTCAGCATGACTATTGCGAGACTAATAAAGGTTTTCTTATCTTTTCTTATGGTTGCAAGGCACATGAAGCAGCCTCGACCCCGAGGCACCTGATAATTTCGTGACACAAAGTAGTCAATCATCTTAAAAATATGTCAATAGCATCCCCGTCACTATTTAGGGTCACACACGGGCGTACGATTGGGAGCCGCAAAGTGGTCTACAATTGCATGTTACATACACAGATGAGTCCATTATCTGAAAGGGGAGATATGCCAGTTTTCGTGCCAATGTCATAAACGAACTCCAGCAAGTCTAATTTCTGTTTCCGCAGTGTTCAAGCACAGCATAATCAGGCGTGTGTTCCGTACCGCCCTGTTTTGATGCAAGTAAGCGATGCCGCGAGGATTGGCCGGAAAAACACTACGTTCAGTCCCGCAATCGCACACAAAGGCGTAAACGCCGTGCTACACCCATTTTTACCAGCGCAAAGGATTGCATATTATCAAAAGAAAGAAAAATCTACCCACAGGCACACAGACTGCGCTTTGCGCTAGACTTGTGCCCGGACCAAAAATGCCCCCAATGTTTTTCATTTCAAGCATTTTGCGTGGCAGAAAGGATAGAGCTGCAATTAACACAACTACTTTAATAAGACACCTGAAAAAAATGATGGCCCTCCTAAACCCGCAAAAAAAAAAAAAAAAAAACTAAAAAGGATTTGAAAGTTTGATTTCATTTCAACCACTGCTCTGCTAGCCATATAAAAGGTGTCATGTTGGGATAGATTTGTTTAAAAAAAGAAATCAAAAAAAAAGGAAAATAAGACCTCTTTTTTTCTCCTTAAATGAACCCTTCATGGGAGAGACAGGTCACATTGATCGCATAATCTGCCTGGGGTTGTCAGTCATTTGTTGTTGGGGGTTTTATATAATATGGATGTGAGCTTTCCATTTTTTCCCCAGGTATTTTGTTTTATGTACACTGTCAATGCTCTTTCACGTTTTGAAAGGTGCTGTATAAATAGGGTGCTACTTTTATCTCAATAGCGATGTCAGCGATTATGCTCCATAAAATCATGTACATGTCATAAAAGCAAGTTACATTTTATTTTAATACTAATTTAACTTTACTGTTATGACGGTAACAGAGTTGCAAATCAGTTTTGATTTTAGAGTTTTGGGTGAAGCGTCCATGCTAGCTAGCTGTGTTAGCTGCCATGCTAACTGATGAAGGGGAAAAATGTAGCTGTATATGAAAAGAAATATTTGATATAAAGGTCTTTTTCTGATCATATGAGTAACATGGTTACAGTTATTATACCTGAAAAACGTGAAGAATACAAGTGAGGACTTGCCGTAGGTCTACTGATCGTCACAGCAATTTGACGGAGCAGGTATTATTTGAAATTTCATGGGCAGACAGAAAATGTCCTCCGTATTTTGGAATGACCCTTCAAAGTATGCCCTTTAATTATTTGCACATTATTTTTCCGGGCTCTTGTTTCTTTGTGTCCTGCTTGAGTAAATACTTATTTGACACAACACAAATGTTATCTTTTTGCTTCACGTGCATTTACATAATGTTTGCCTTTCAACATACGTATTATTGTTTGCGTACTCTTTCATTGTGTTGTTAAAATATTCCAGACTCCCCTCAGCATAGTTCCGCGTTGTAGACAGGCCGTCAGGATAAAATAAATAGTCTGGAGTTAATTATGGAAAGCCAGCTCCGGCTTTGCCCTGGTGATTTATGGAGTGCGTGCATGCATTCTTCAATGCATTTTTCTTAATTTATTTTAAATCAGTCTTTCAGTTAATTTCACCACAAACATCTTCATAATGTAAAAGAGGGTTTAGGTAATGAGCCCGCTGAGGTGAAACGAAAAGGCAGTACAAGGTATTTTCCAGGTCCCAGTCGCAATAAATATATAAAAGCACAGATCGAATACAACCTTACCCAGGACAACATCAAATTCTGATTTCCAGACACAATCAAATTGT